GAGAGAGAGAGAGAGAGAGAGAGAGAGAGAGAGAGAGAGAGAGAGAGAGAGAGAGAGAAGTGGTGTGAAGGGATAAGGCTTAGTTTTGTTGTTCCTTTCATTTCCTCTGTTCATTTGTATAATTTTGGATTCTGATATGGCCGATCTCTTTATCACGGTCTCGAGCGCGTCAGTCCGGCACCGCACAAGGCAGCGCGGGACCCTCCCGACCCAGTCACGCAGAAATTAGTCGTAATCCTTGTCGCAAATGCATATGGAGCTTTCGCAAGCCGCTCCGGTCGAGTGCGCCATCCATACCTCTCGCGAGCCCCTACGACAAAAAAGGGTCTATGCGAGGCACGACTTACCTCCACTTTACAGGAGGTGTCACCTCCCTTCGGTGGATGTATCCCCACCGAGCTAAGCTGATCAGCTGCAATCGCAAAGGTGGACCAGCCGATGACGTTTCTCGTTCGCTGTCACGGTAGCATAGGGGTACGCGCGGTATTACGCCTCTATCGAACCCGCGCAGGAACAGGCATCTCGGGGGGTTGAGGTCCCAAGCGCGACTCGTCGTCGATTGACTAGGACGCATCTCACACGCCACACGCACACCACTATAACGAACATAAAAAAAAATAAACACACACACACACATATACATATATATACATATACAGAATGACACTGAACAAACAACGAGACAACACTCCTAGTCCCTTAGTAGCCATCCCATAACTCTTCGATGTGGAAATCGGATAGGCGTCGCACGCAAGACTTAGTATAAAACTTCGCGGACGCAGGGCCTTCTCATATGCACTAGCAATGCAAGCATACGCAAGCAGTCGCAATGATGACGTACTATGTAGTACCCATACTCATGCAGTCCTCGTTAATCTTGAGGGTCGCATTCGACCCTCAAGTGTCGGCTACAACACGCCTTGAGGGATTGATCTCTCGACGCTGGACAACCGCCAAGTGCGGTTGAAAACCACACCCTCTTCTGCACCCTGCGGAGAGTGGGTGGTACACAGGTTCATACCTGTGGTGACAATCGTCTCTTATGGCTCTGGAGACCAACTCTATCATCCAGGGTCTGGAAAAAAGTCAAGGGGTTTTGACTTTAACGACTGTCATGGATTACAACGTCTAACTATAAAAATTAATAAGCAAAATCAATCAGTAAATAAGTAAACCCCCAATACTCACATATGAAATCAGAACTCGAGATAAAATAAAAGAAGGGGAAACATAAACCCATAAGGTATGCAGATCGTGTCACACATGGTTGTCATTCTCACTGCCTCCAAAGTAAGACTCGTCTACCAAGCTTCAAAATACTGAAATGCATAAAACACAGGCACACACAATAACCACATTGTCATACACCAATGTGGTCAACTTTTATGTTCCCTCTAACTTATACCACGCCTCACACACTCAAGCCCTTGTCACAGTTCAACTTTCCATAAATATCATAAGTTATTTATAATAGTCATTTAAAAGAGGTCCGGTTAAAACCCTCAATGAAACATATCAAATCTTATGGCTACGGCAATCAAGTTGAGGTACAGGTGTAAGTAAAGTTGTGTCGTGAGCCGATGAGTCGACAATCAACCCCACCTGTTATCAGTGATAACAGAAGATGACCCTTGTAGGATCAGGATTAAACTAGTCCAAATCCTGGATCGAATGTCCCAAGAAGACATGTATCATACGACAGGTCAATGTCCAAGCTAAATCGTCAATGTATGGAGACCAAATCCCCATAACACGTCCTCACTCAAGACTCTCCTGATAACCAAGCTTAGGTCTATCTCTAAGCCAGTGCCAAAGGAAAGGAAGACCTATGGCATAATCTCTCCCATACAGAGTGGATCGCCAGAGCCGCCACCTGTCAAAATATAACCTATCTCCCCTAAACTAAGAAAATTTCGGCAGCGCTTCCCGTAAAAAAAGTGTCTTTGCAGAATTTATATCAGCCTAAATATGAAAACAAAAATAATTTTTAACCTTTCAAAGTCAAATTGTCTAACTCACTGAATTAGCAAAAATTTAGGCATTACTCTCTTTAGAAAATGAGACTTCCCAAATTTTTGCTAAGCCATATATATAAA